GGAAGGTGGCGGGGGCCCAGGGCACGGAAACGAGGGGCTTGAGCGGCTAGGGCAAGGGCTGCCCTCCCGGCTAGAGAAGAGCTCCACTAGGCGGGCGAAAGAGCCTGCAGACAGGCGGGCCAGCTTGCGGCGCAGGGCTGGGTCCGAGGCCAGCTGTGGGATGCAGAGGGGAAGAGGCAGGGAAGGCCTTAGTGCATTCTACAGTTAGCCAACATGGGGCTGGGGCGGTGGTTTCCTAATTTGGGCCAGTTCTAGATGCTAACACTAAGCCACAGCCCCATCCATCATATAAACCAATCATAAGCCAGATAATATGGTTTGGACCAAACTGCTCCCAAGAAGCAGATCAGAATTTAAGAATCTAAGCCATACCCTGCCTAGTTCTTAACAGCCAGTCAGAGTGAAGTCCTACTTTAGGGGTTTCTAGAAGGCTAACGTTTTAGTCACACCTCAGCAATCTTCCTCTAGAGTCCTGTGGGCCAGGCTATGGTCTACAAAAACTTCTCTCGCCCTCTGTCATATAATTAATGTTACAGAACCATATAAATTGCCCAGGCTTTCAAGCCAATCAGATTCCAGGACACAATCACAAGCCACATCCCCTCCAGCTGTCCATTTCCCCCCACATTCTAAACCATATTCCTACTGTACTGAATCAGATATTATTGTTATTATTGGTGGAGGTAGTAGCAGGAGTAGCAGCAGCACCACCACCTCACCACCACTCCCTCACCACCACTACCACCATCTCCACCACCAGGGATTAAACCAGCAGTGCTTAACCACTGAGCCAAATCTCTGGCTTTTTTTTTTTTTCTTTAATTTTTAATTTTGAGATAGGTTCTGGCTAAGTTACTAAAGCTGGCTTTGAACATATGATCCTCTGTCTTCAACCTCCCAAGTTGCTGGGATTACAGGTGTCCATCACCATGCCCAGCTAAATCAGATTTTAGATTAATGTGCACATGCTCTTTCTCTTACTTCCCCAACCTGGCCCAAATCTCCAAGATGATGTTTCCTTGTTTTATTTGTTTCTTTTTTGGGGGGGAGGGGGAGGGTAAGAGGGGATTGAACCCTGAGGTGCTTAATCACTGAACCAACATCTCCAGCCCTTTTATTTTGAGACAGGGTTTCACAAGGGTACTTGAGCTTACTAAGTTGCTGAGGCTGGTCTCAAATTTGTGATTTTCCTGTTTTAGCATCCTGAAGCACTAGAATTGAGGAAGGTACCACTAAGCCTGGCTCTCCTGAATCATGTTTCTGATGGCCACATCCCCTGCATTTAGGCAATGCCTTTCTAACAGCCAATGAAAACCACTGTCATTCAACCCTTCCCCTGTCCCACTCTACCCGACCTGACCATCCAAAGAAAATGCAGATCTAACTTCTGATCCCAGTGTCCCATCATCCCACAACTCCTGTCCTTATTAAGGCACACACACACACACAAAAAGGCCTATCACCTTCTGGTTGATGACCTCTGCTTCTTCTTCCAGCAAGGTCACCAGCTTTCGAAGCAGGACTTCCTTCTCTGTGGTTGGCGGACCCTGTAACTCTGGGACAGAAGAGAATTCAATTCGGGGAAGAACCCTGGCTGTCCTCCCACCATCATCCTTCTCCAGGGCTTCTCTGTACCTCACCTGGGCTAGGGGGAGATCTCAGTTGCTCTTGGACCAGCTGTTCCAGCCGCTGGGCCACCAGGGCATAGAAGTCTGGAGTAGCTGGACCTGAAGTAAAAAGTCAATGACTCTGGAACTCCAGGACATTGGAAATTTATGGATTCTCTTCTTTTGACTACCTTGTCAGTTAGGAATGATTTCCTTCTTTTGGGGGAGGCAATGGTGATTGAATTCAGGGGGCACTTTACCCCTGAGCTACATCCCCAGTTCTTTTTTATTTATCTTGAGACAGGTTCTTGCTAAATTGCTGAGGGTCTTACTAAGTTGTTGAGGCTGGCCTTGAAATTGCAATCCTTCTGCTTCAGCCTCCCAAGCTGCTAAGAATACAGGCATGCACCACTATTCCAGGCTAATGATTTTTACTTTATAATGGGGGTAAAATGAGGCTCAGTGAGAAAACTTGATAATAGATGCCAAAATTCTTATACTTACTACTTTACCATGTCCTTCAACTGAACTTAGAATATCAGACCTGATCTGAACTTTGAAGATTACTCCATCCAAGGAAAGGACATATATGGCATTCTTGATATTATTACCCTAACCCTTCCCCAGTTCAGACATCATCAATTAATTACAACACTCAACTTCCTAGCTGCAAATTCCTATTGATGCTGGTACTCTCAGCTGCCATTACTAGCGTATCCAGGCTCACCTATGAAAAACAATCTATTGGTCACTCCTATTCAAGTCCAATGACCCCCTACCCCATTCTGACTCTACCCCTGGAAAAACTGAACAGCAGAGAGGAGAAATTACTTTTCCTAATCATACAACCTAATAGCCAGGAAGTTGTAATTGAAAACCAGGTCTCTTTAAAAAAAAAAAAAAAAAAAAAACAGGTCTCCTGCCTCTCTATTAAGGATATTTGTAGCTACAAAAGGAGCTTTCCTAGGAATCAGAGAAGGATGCATGGAAGGAGGATAATAACTAGCTAGAAAGGGACCAAAAGTTCCACTGAATTGACAAAAATACAGCTGGGAGTTGGGGGAGGACAGGATGGTTAGGGTTGGTACTAGAAATCCCACACCCTTCCCTCTTAGTTGAGTAATCTCAAACTAGTACCTTATCCTATCTACACTTTAGGAACCAAGGCTTTTGGCTGTGTCTCTTTCACAGGTGATATGGGGCAATCTCTTACCAGGCTCTGAACCATAACAGGGGCGGAGGGGCAGAGAGCAAGGCCGGGGGGAATCAGAGGGAGCGCCTCCTCGCCTCAAGGGACACGGAAGACATCTTCGAAGGCGACTCAGGAAGTCTGTTGGCTCCTCTTGGGCAGAGCTTCTAGGAAGGAGGACCTGAGAGAGTGATCCCAGAGATCTCCTGCAAGCAGATCTCCTTTCTCCTACAAAGGACATCTCCTTGCAACCCCGGGAACAGGGAATAGAGCCAGACGTGAAGAGACAGGGCTGAGACCAGGCACAAGAGTTACAGAGGTCCTCAAACCAAATGCAGGCCCTGGGTAAGGAGGGCAACTCCTCTTACCTGGGTGGGGTTGGGATGGGGGACCCAGAAGCCTCACCCCGCCTGAGGAAGGCAGCTAGAACCCTCAGCGTGTCCTCCCGGAGCCCCAGCTCCTCTGAGCCTGCCATGGAGGCACCTGTGTGAGAGAGAGCTAGAGAGTGACTCAAGGTTCACCGGGAAGTGGAGGCTCAGACCCAAACTTCTAGTCTTAAATGAAGAGGAGGTCATGACTCATGAACCTCCAAAGGGAGGAGGGTGCTGGGGGTCTGGACTCCTGGGTCCTCTAGGAGAGTTGAGATCTTGGAGCCCCAGAGGGAGAAGAGGGATGAAGCCTGACTCTTTTACCCTGGGAAAGGAAGTGGCTGGGGGCCTAGATTCTTGGATCTAAGAAAGGAAGTGTCTACGGACTTGGAATTCTGGAGCCCCGGAGAAAAAGGGGGTTTAGAGCTCTGACTCCTGTATACTGAATGAGGCATACACTAAGCTTCTGAAGCAATTGGAGGATCTGGTACTACCAATCCCAGCAGGCTTAGTAGCAAGCGTTCCGCGCTGTCCGCCGCACAGCCTGCTGGGAGTAGTAGTTCCAATTGCCCGAGGCTGGAATCTCGGGGACCCACAAGCACTTGGATGTCGGAGGAGAGAGACTGGCGCGTCCGCTCCTGAATCCCTGTCCGCTCCTCTTGCCTTCTCACCCCAGTCCTTGACAAACCCTGCTTACCTGGTTCCGGCCTCGAGCGGCCGTCGCCGTCCCCGCCCCAGCCTCCGCCTCCGAAGGCACTCACGTTACACACAAACTTTTAGTAGTTTAACTTTCCCGCGCCTGCGCACTGAGTCGATTTGGTAACTGCCTCAACGTAGAAGGGGCGGGACGCTGAATCTCCGCCTAATTTGCATATCGCGTTCCCAGCATGCCTTTTTCCGGAAAACCGAAAAAGGGCATGAGGTGTAATGCCTCGGTTAGTCGGACCGCCCCTCTGACTTTTGGGTCTCTTACCCAAAGAATGATAGTTGTTTTTATCTCAAGAAATCGATAAAAAAGAAAGTTCCTGCGCTTGGAAACTTAGCTGACAGGAAGAGGGGTGCGCAGCTTGGAGTCTAAGAACTACACCGCAGCAACCCGAACGCTCCGATCCTTCCGCGGTACGTAACGCGGAAGAGCTAGGGAAAGAATTGGTGGCCTTCTGTAGTGAGGAAGGAGAAAGGAGTGATAGTAGGAGAGGAAGGCTGAATACTCTGGGGAGAATGGGACAAAGAAGGACCTAAATGGCTGACGTTGAAAATCTGCTATGGAAAAATTAGAAAAAGCAGCGAGGAAAGAGGAGAGGAGGCATCTACACCGGGGGAACACAGGGGAGAAAAGGGTGGATTCTGCAAATAGAAGAGAGTCCCCTCCAGAAAGTGGTTGGTGAGCCCTGAAGGATAGAGGCAGATTGGGGGAATTGGATGGAGTCTCTGCGCTGGAAATGGAGAGGGGTATTTTCTGTGGGGTAGTTGAGGAAGGGGGTCTAGACAGGAGTCAATGCAGGAGTAACATCTGTACTGAAATAACTAGCGAAGGAGAGCTGCACCCTAAAAGTTGGGGAACCTGCTTGGATGATATTGGTGAGGAAGGGGTTTACAATAGAAAAGAGAAGGGTCGACGCTGGCCGAATTGGGTCAGAGCAGCTGCACGCTTGGGAAGGAAAATGGGTCTACACTGATAATGGGAGCGAGTCCTTGGTGGAAAAGGGAGCCTTCTGGAGGATGGAAGGATAGGAAGCTATCTCCTCTTTGTACTCCAAGAAGACAGGTAAAGGGCCTGCACCGTGGCCCGTGAGAGGGAGGTGGGTCCGGGAGGCTGCCCGCGCCCAGGAGCTGCCTTGTGCGCGCAGGCCTGACCATGGGAACCCAAAAGCCGCGAATCTTGCCCTGGCTGGTGTCGCAGCTGGACCTGGGGCAACTGGAGGGTGTGGCCTGGCTGGACGAGAGCCGCAAGCGCTTCCGCATACCCTGGAAGCACGGCCTGCGACAGGACGCGCAGCAGGAAGACTTCGGCATCTTTCAGGTGCGTGCACCAGGGGCGCTGGAAACCGAGAGCTCTGCACCCGGCCTTAAGGCTGAGGGGGCGACTGAGAAGGCGGAGATAACTCCCGGCGGGGGCGGGTAGTGCTAATGATGGTGGGTGGAGTTGGAAGGGAGGGGCGGGACCAGCAGGCTCGGTTGTCTGATGGGGAAGAGCGAGCAATAATGGAACAGGTCGGCCAGGTTCCGGGAATAGAACTGGGAAAGTGGGATTAGAGCTTTAAGGAAGTGCATCCTGCAAGTTGAGAGATCACTGGGGATGGGGCTTTCAGTTACAGAATTCTTGAAATATTAGACGTGAGACTTGGAGCTCTAAAGACGGGGTTATAACCACCAAATTGACACACTAGTGGTGGTAAATCTTTAAGAATGTGAGGGGAAAGGGTGGCGTGGTGGCACGCCTGTAATCCCAGTGATTTGGCAGGTTGAGGGAAGATTGCAGGTTGAGGCCAGCCTGGGCAATTTAGGGAGACCCTCTCTCAGAAAACAAAAAAGGCTGGGGATACAGCTCCGCGGTAGAGCGCTTGCCTGGCATGCTGAGCCTTGGGTGGTGGTGTGGGGGTTATGAGAAGGTAAGGGGATGTGCCACAATGAAACCTAGTATTCTGTATAATTAATATACACCAGTAAAAACATTGTCAAGTGTCCGTGTTATCGCAGAGGTACCCTGGGGGAGTGAAGGTCAAGTTAGACAGCCAGTAGGACCTAAAAGACTGGCTTAGAAAGTCAAGGTTTTTGAAGTTGAAAGCTGGAATCAGGAGGTATATGTGGGGATGAGAGAGAAGCTTGTGGGTCAGAGAATTTGGGGATGGAACCTTAGGGAATTGGAATTTATTGTGGGGGGAGGCGTTAGGACTGGAGGAGGCAGGGGTAGAAACCTAAAGGTGGGGGTCTAAGTCATCCTCCTCACTACCCTGATTCCACTGGTGCCCTAGGCCTGGGCGGAGGCCAGTGGTGCCTACACTCCTGGGAAGGATAAACCTGACCTGCCGACCTGGAAGAGGAATTTTCGGTCTGCCCTGAATCGGAAGGAAGTGTTGCGTTTAGCTGAGGATCGGAGCAAGGACCCCCACGACCCTCATAAGATCTATGAGTTTGTGAGCACAGGTGTGTCAAAGTCTGGCTTTTCATGGTGGGCTGGGATCTGGAGGGTCTCTCGCTCCCTCTTCTACTCACTCCCTTTCTCCACAGGAACTGGGGACTTTTCCCAGGTTGATACCTCTCCAGACACCAGTGGTGGAGGCAGTACCTCAGACACCCAGGTAAGAATGCACCCAACCCTCTTGCCCCTTATTCTCTTGCTCTGCCCCCCTAGACCCTTCTCCTTCCCAGGCTTCTATTCCTCCCCTCCAGCCCACCCCTTGCCTGTCCAAGAAAAGGTGATTGAAATATCCACTTCTTTTTTCCTCCAGGAAGACATCTTGGAGTTACTCAATGACATGATCTTGGCCCCAGCCCCAGATACGGGCCCCCCAGGTTTGGGTGTGGTCCCTGAGCACTGCTCTCAGCTCTTGTTGAGCCCCAACTTGGAAAACCCCATGCCCTGTCCAAACCTGGCACCTCCTGAAAACCCACTAAAGCGACTGTTGGTACCTGAAGAACGTGAGTACCAGCTGGGGGTGGTAGGGGCTGTGGCAGGGGCCGTGGGCACTCACCACCTCTCCCCTTTCTGTCCTCCGCTGCTGGTGCTGCTCAGAGTGGGAGTATGAAGTGACTGCCTTCTACCGGGGCCGCCAAGTCTTCCAGAAGACCAAATTCTGCCCAGGGGGCCTACGGCTAGTGGGCTCAGAAGCTGGGGACAGGACACTATCTGGACAGCCAATAACATTGCCAGACCCTGGGGTTTCCCTGACAGACAGAGGAGTGGTGGGCTATGTGAAACGTGTACTTAGCTGCCTAGGAGGGGGACTGGCACTCTGGCGGTCAGGGCAGAGACTCTGGGCCCGCCGGCTGGGGCACAGCCATGCATACTGGGCTGTGGGCGAGGAGCTGTTCCCTGACAATGGGCATGGGCATGATGGTGAAGTCCCCAAGGACAACGATGGAGTTGTGTTCGACTTGGGGCCCTTTGTGGCAGGTAAGTCCCCTGAATGGAAAGCAGCTGGGCATGGTGGTTGAAGGCTCTGGGGTCAGACAGTTTGGAATTAGTTTCAGACCTTGCTGCTCTGCACACTGGGGCAAAGAACGGGTCTGCTTTGTCAAGGCCAAGGACTGATTGCCAGAGCTGGTTTAAGGCACAGGGCCCAAAACACAGAAGGTGTTCAGGAGATTAGCTGGCGTTTTCATCATCATCATCATTATAGTGCACACACAAAACAATGGTAGGGCTGGGAGTGTACCTCAGTGAGGAGAGCTTGCCCAGCATACTGAGGCAATCCCCAGCACCACAACAAAACAAATAAACAGGAAAGAGAAAGCCATTAGGACTTCACTCTGCAATATAACTTTCTACAGTGATGGAAATGAACTGTTTTTGTGCTGTCCAGTATGGTATCCACCAGCCACACGTGAGTTTTGAGCACCTAAATGAGCCAAGTACAACTGAGGAATCTTATACTTCATTTTAAATTAAACAATTTAAATATTATAGTCAAGGTGGCTGGCTACATATTGGACAGCATAATTTGGGGATTAAGGAGCAGTCGACACCAACCACCTTCTACTCCACACAGTATCCTTGGGGACATAGACTCCCATGCTCTGGAACTAGTTCCCCTCCTGAATCCTGGGGTACCAGGGTGGGGTGAGGGTGGGGCAATCTTCCAGCACTACCCTGATGGGAGTGGAGGGAGAACACTTAATTTTAACATTGCAGGGGCTGTCCCCACTCTGATAGCCCCTTGTCACGGTGGCAGAGGGTCTTGGGTCAGGAAGGTGGTGGGGTTATTACTTGGGTTGAGCACGGTTGGGTGGATAGTGGGTCTTTTTCCCTTTCCTAATTAGGATTCTGAATCTTCAGATCTGATTTCCTTCATGGAAGGAAGCAGACGGTCACCACGATACACCCTGTGGTTCTGCATAGGGGAGTCATGGCCGCAGGACAAGCCATGGGTGAAGAGGCTTGTGATGGTCAAGGTGCCTGGATTCTGTGTTCCTGGGGCTGGGAGTGGTGGTCTTACAAAGAGAAGAGGGTACTCCCAAGAACTACAGCTTGCCGAATCTCCTATGAGGAACTCCTGTTTAAGTGCCCCTGCCATCACCAGTTCCTCATCCCCAGGAGTTTCTGGGTATCCTTTGCTTGGCTTCACCCCCACAGCCTGTTTTGAACTTTCCAGATCCTATAGAAGTTGATAGACAAGTCCTAGTGGAAGTCTACTGGTTGGGTGTTTTCACTGACTTCTTTCTCCCCTGATCCCACAGGTGGTACCCACATGCCTCAGGGCCCTGTTGGACATGGCCCGATCAGGGGGTGCCTCCTCACTGGAGAATACCATAGACCTACACATTTCCAACAGCCACCCCCTCTCCCTCACCTCCGACCAGTACAAGGCCTACCTACAGGACCTGGTTGAGGACATGGATTTCTAGGTCACTGGGGAGGCCTGAACCCTGACTCTTCACTTTGACCAATAAACCATTTTCCTGCTACAGCCATCACTTGTGTTTCTGGTGTTGGATGTCCCAGAGCAGCCCTGACCTTCGGCTGGTTGTTATTCCTGCTGGGGTCTCAGTTTACTTTTCTGTGCAGTTATCATAACTAAGATGCTCAATGTGTGGAGACCAGGCACCATGCAGGGGACAGCTGACTCTCAATTACCTCTTTGTTTCTTACTAGGGACCTGATAAAGAGATGAGAGTCACCCCCATTTTACAAACCAAGACACTGAAGTTTGGAGAGACAAAGGTCACAAAGTGAGAAACAGACTGTTCAGATTCCAGGGCCATCTCCGAGCCTATACTCTATGAAGGACACCCAAAGGCCCCATCTTGCCTATGAACAGTTTGGGCAGATGTCCCTTCTTTCTGGGCCTAGGGCTCCCCTTTGTTGAGAGCCAGAATGAAAAACTGTGAAGGGGCTCAGCACCTACCCCTGGAGTCTCTGAAACCTGTGTGTCCCAGTGACCCTGGGTCCTTCCACTCCTCCTAGCTGGGCTGCTTTTCTGGGAAAGGGGAATGACAGAAGCCGGAGCAGCCAACTCACCATTTGGCCTACCTACTTTATGCCTCAGTCTCCCTCTCAGGAGAGAGGATTAGATCACCTCAGCCTAACATGGCCACTGAAAAGAAAATTCAACACGATGGGGCAAAGATCCTGCATTTGGGGACAAATCCAAGGGAGCCAAAAAAGCACCCTGGTGCCCTTAGCTCAGAAGACATTGGGGACATGTCTAGACCCTCCTTCCTATCACCACCACTTTTGATCAACAACTTTTAGGTATTATGCTAAATGCTTCACCTGCTTGTGACTTGTGTAATCCCACAATACTCACTTTACAGAAAGGGAAACTGAGGCCCAGAGAGGGCCATGCCCTTGCCCTAGGTCACATAGTCTGGTCTCTGCTTCCTACACTTACACATAGGCCAGGACTTCTGAGTATCCCTCTGTAACTCTCCTAATTTGTCTCTGGGGGGAAAAAAGCTAAAATAATGGGGATGGGGATAACATTTCATGAAATCTTTAATGAAATTGGGGGAGGGACACGAACAGAAGGGAGAGGCAGTGGGGACAGGCTTGGGGCAAGGGAGATGGGCAGAAGCTGGGCAGGGCAGGGGCTCTCCTCTTCCCTGCAGCAATCCTCCCCCAATCATCCCACTGATGGGGGAGGGAAGGAGGGAGATGGAGCCATAAATATGTCCAGAATCTCAAAGAGGCGAAGGGTAGAAAGAGTGGCTGTGGTGGGAAGGGGGGGTCTCAGAGAGGAGGGAGGGGCAAGCCTGGGCCACCCTTGTCAGGGGGCCCTGGCTCCTTGGGCGGCCGGGGGGGCCCTGGAGGATCCCCAGGCTTGCGGCCGTGTTTGCGGAAGTAGCGGTAGCGCTGGACGTAGGCCCGTACCAGGTTGCTCACCTTCACCGGGTTGATCTCACCGCTTTTGCTGTGGCAGATCTGGGAAGCCAGGGGGCACCTGGAGTCACTGCCAGCCCCCTGCAGCCCCCTTCACCTGGGACTACTGAGCAGCACAGTTTGGGCCTGGGATGGGAGCCACTCCCCCAATGACTAGACCAATGCCCACACTTGGACCTGCTAACAACGGGTTCCCCAATTGCCAAAATGAGCCCAGGTGGCCCTGAGGAAATCCTGTCATCCTCCTCACCTGCAAAACCACCCCCTCATTCCCATCTCCCCACGTGCATACGTCAGTCTGACAGATCTCGTTGCAGCACCTGTCCCCCTGTGCACCCCACCTTGTGGACAGCCTTCCTCAGGATGTCCTTATATTCCTCCTTGGTAATGTCCTTCTTCTGATAGTACGGCTTGATGGCGAGCTTCACCTCTTCCACTGCCCGCTCCTGTGTGTGCAGCTTCTTCAGATACTGGTGCATTGGTGACAGGGTGGGAGAAAAGGGACAGCAAGGCCCAAATGAATGCCTGTGGAACCTCCAGGCCTCCACTCACCTCTGCATGCCAGCTTAGCCTCCTTGACCATCTAGCTAGGCCCAACCACATTGGCCCACTGGACAGAAGAACTAGGAGGTAGAAGTCTTGTTTAGGGTCTGCCTTGTATTCTCCTTGCCAGTCATACTAGCCCACTGGGCATCTCTACACTGGACCCTAAGCTGTCCCAGGCCTGGCCATAACAGGACACATGTATCCCCTCCCTCATAGTCCAGTGGGGAGATAAATGTTAGCCAAGCAATTACAACCAGAAAAAAAAAAAAAAAAAATTTGTGGGGGTGGTGCTGGGGATTGAATTCAGGGGAACTCGACCACTGAGCCACATCCTCATTCCTATTTTGTATTTTATTTAGAGAAAGGGTCTGAGTTGCTTAGCACCTCACTTTTGGTGAGGCTGGATTTTTTTTTTTTTTTAATATTTTTTTAGTTGTAGATGGGCACAATATCTTTTATTTATTTATTTTTACGTGGTGCTGAGGATAGAACCCAGTGCCTCACACATGTAAGGCAAGTAAGTGCTCTGCCATTGAGCTACAACTCCAGCCCCAAGGCTGGCTTTGAATTCATGATCCTCCTGTCTCAGCCTCCTGAGCCGTTGGGATTATAGGCATGCACCACTGCACCCAGCCAAACCCTTTCTTTTTTTTAAATATACATGACTTTTCCTAGTTTTTTTTTTCTTTTTTTTAATATATATCTTGGGGCTGGGATTGTGGCTCAGAGGTAGAGCGCTCGCCTAGCACGTGTGAGGCACTGAGTTCAATCCTCTGCACTACATAAAAATAAAATAAAGATATGTGTCCATCTATAAATTAAAATAAATATTTAATATATTTATTTATTTATTATTTAATTTATTTTTTATATGGTGCTGAGGATCAAACCCAGTACCTCCCAAGTGTGAGGCAAGTGCTCTACCGCTGAGCTCCAGCCCCCAGCCAACTACTTTTAATTAAACGTTTTAGGGCTGTGGTATGAAAATGTCACAAGATCTTCGGCAAGGTGGTGGTGAGTCCCATTGGGTTTTCATGACCCTACCCTGACTCCTGATGGATGGCAAGATGGTGGGGCACTTGGGGGAGCCAGCATTCTGGCAAGAAGCACAGAGTGTGTGTTTGGAGGGCAGGGGTATGTGGCTGAACTCAGGTTGTATAGATGGCACACTGGCACTGGAGTCCTGGTCTACCACTCCTGTAGGCAACCAAACTCTGTAGCTTGTCTGTAAAATACCGCAGTACCTATGGGAAGGACTAAGGTGACGTTCACTGAGAACACAGCACAGGCTAGACACAGCATGGACTCAAAGGGAGCTGGATTATTAGAGAATAGGAGAGAATGTTGAGCCTCTTCTATGAGGCTCTGCCCTGGCCAACAGGCTAGAAGTCTACACAGCAGAGCTGAAACAGTGGCACCCCTGCCTCAGTGAAATATTTGCAAAAGTCGCTGGGAATTGCCAAAAGGGGAACAAATTTTGTTCAGCAGAGGCCCCCTACCAAGCACAAGAGACAATCCCTTAGCAACACCACCAGGGAGGTCCCTTTCCCGATCCAGACAACTCTTGCCTCTGCCCCAGGACCAAAACACATGGGAACAGGCAAAGGATCCTGGGAAGAGAAGGGATAGATGGCTATAGTGGGGCAACATCTTGGATGACATGGCCACAAGGATGCAAACTGATGAGCTGCTGGGGAGCTCTATTGAAGGACTTCTCAGGTTTTCCCAGCCCAACAGAAAGTTGGTTTCTAAAGAGATATAGTCAAAAGAAAGAGAATGTTCCTCCCATCTCAAATGTGGAAACAGAAGACAGGAGAGGACAGACCTACTGTCCCAGCCCACAGCACATAGCACATGCCATGGACAAAGACCAGCTAAACCATGGCCCCAATGTTTCTCACATGGGGATTTCTATGGGGCTTCATCTGGCTTTCCCTTTGGCACCCTCTACTAGACAGGTAAGGGTAGGCAGGGTTATTGGATGAGAAAGACATGCAGCTAGACCTGACCTAGCGGTAAATAGCTTCTGAGCCCCAAGAGTAGGAACTGAAAAACCCATGTCTGTATTTGCCTGGCAGCCATTCCTCTTCCCTTTATCTGGGAACATTTTCTTGACTTCTTTTGAAAATAACCCCCTCCCACTTACAAAGAGAAGGAGGGCAAGAGAACAACAAGTAACTGAGTGGCAGACTTGTCTCTGTGTGAATGTGTACATGTGGGTATATTTACATACACACACGTATTCATCGTGTGCTATTAATGTGATATATATATATATTTTACATATATTACACACATACATACAATTTTCTTTAAAAACCTGCCAGCCCCTTTCCCATTCATCCATTCTAGTGGAAATTTAGTTTCTTATTATTTAATAACTGATTAATACACTTCTCCAGGGCCCAGCTCACCTTATCTGTGTCTCCTCGTCCCTCGGAGCTGCTGCTGCCCTCTCTCTTGTCAGATGCAGCGGCCAGCCCAGTGGGGGTGGGTGGGGTAGAGCCACAGCCCCCCAGGGGGAGACTGCCAGGAAGCAGGTAGCTGGAGGGGCCAGGTGGTAGACCCAGAGAAGTGGGCACAGGAGCTGGGGCCACCCCCAAACCTGAGGGTGGTTTCCGGTGGCTGAGGATCTGTGGGAAAAGGTGGCGGGTGGGAGGCAGGGAGAGTTGTACAAGATGAGCAAAGAGTAAAGGGAGGTGGAAGGGAAAAAGGAACTTATACCCTCGCTGTTCCCACCCTGATTTTCCAACACATCTAGGGCAACACGGTCCTCTTCTGGCCAATATCTTGCCCCAAGGCCTGCTGGGAGTTGTAGTTCTTCTCCTAACCAGAGGCAATGGACAAAGGAAAGGTCTGTGGGGACTCTTCCCTAGGGAAGCCCACCTGGTTGGTGGCCTGGATCAGCTCCTGGGCCTTCGCTCGGCTTGCAAGGTTGGCTTCTTCCATCTTGAAGAGAAGTGCAGTCACTGCAGGAGGTGCAGAGGTAATGACATGGACATCAGGAGATGACAGGAGAGAAGATGGTGAACCTCACCTAGCCACC